CATGGGCTGGGGCAGGAAAGTAGCAGGTGCATTAGATGTAAGATTTTTTAAAATACCAACATTCTGAATTCCTCCAGCATTGTTTGTCAATTTAACATCCGATTTTTTGCAAGTTTGCTTACTTGAACTTGTTTTATGACTAGACTAAAAATAAAAATAAGTATGTCAAAAATATTCCAAATAAAAAAAAAGTTATCTACAACTATATCTAGAATACTAGTATCAACTATCCTGACATTTTTAATTCTTGTAAAGATAAAGCATTCAAACAAATTATTTTCAAGCTAAATAACAAATCAGTATGATTGAAATGTCAGCCATTTTGTAGACATAAAAACTGTACAGTTTGAATACAATTAAAATTTAAACACATTTCAAAACTTAATAAATGTGCATGATTTATTTATTGATTTACTATAAATGGAAAATATTTAGTCTTCTTTTTTAATCAACATTTCATCAATATATGCTCAAGATGTTTTACCTTTGAAAAACTGTTACAATTCTGCAGTGTTATGCATTTCACAGACGTTTTGTGAGCACTGACTGATTTTACAGGTGCTGTCAGCTTTCTTAAATCATAATGGTATATTTTTCCACGAGAAGAGCCAATAGTGAGTGAAGTTCCTTCGGGCATGAATTCTACTGCAGTTAGAGGAGTTTCTGCTACTAAAGTTCTCAACTGCCTTTATATGTCAAAGATATTGAACACAAAAGGGGAAAAAACCATAAGAATGTTACATAGAATTTTCTAAATAAAAACCTTTATCTTACTGAGTTCTTTGTTGGGTTTAATCTAGGTTACATCTATACACCTGACCCAAGATTATTGAGTGGGCTTCATGCCCAAAATGAGATTTGAGACACACATGATCACGATAAATGATTATCTCTACCAATCTGCCCATTTTATCTTTTTAGTTTTGTTATTTATTCATCTTATATTTAAATATTTATGCATAAAGTTAATACACAAAGGTGTAAATATATCCCTAAATAAGATAACACACAAATGTCATCATTCTTCTGGTGGAAATATATCCTTAAATACTGCTGGTCATACCTTCTCAATTTTGACACAAATTAAAGTATGTGGCATGGAAAATTGCACTATCAGAGTCAACATCTTATACCTTATTTGTGGTTTCTGCTTAGCTTTTCTTCTCATGCACTCCAACCATCATAGGTTTATAATAAAAAAACAGATTTTAAGGTTTTAACTGTCTGAGACAGTAAAATAAATAATAAATTTTAGGGCATCAACATTGGATTTTCTCCACTTTTCCCATTTGATTTAATCTATCTAAATGAATTGCAGAAAACTCAAATTCAAGAAGATTTGACATATAAGTAATCATTTTCAGGTTTCATCACAATCAGATTATTTTTACTGAAGCAAGCAAAATTTTTATATATGAAAATCATTCTAAAAACCATTTTCAAATTACTATACATTTAATTTACTATTGAAATTAAAATGAGTTTAGTTTCATTAGAGAGTTCATGATGAAGATTTCAAAATATTGTTGGTTTGATGTAAATTTATTTATTAAATACATTAGCAGCCTATCTCACTGTCAAGTGACTAGCTGAAAGCTGTTATTCATTTTGTAAATAAGTAAACTGACAAGTATATACTTACCTTTTACTTGCTGTGTCATAGAGAATTATTCTTTTATCTAGACCTACAGTTACAAGCAGCAATTCACTGATGGGAGAAAAACAGATTTCATAAGCTGGAGCTTTATGAGCATTTTCAAAGTTATGGTATGGAGTTTGACTGTTGACATCCCATAGGGTTACAGTTCCACTGTCAGAGACGCTACCCAGTAATGCTTTTTTAAAGGGAGAATATTTCAAATGTCGTACGGGCTGTAAGAAAAGAAACAAACAATATTCCATAATTTCTATTTCAACTAAAGTTTGACTTAGCCAAAATCCAATTCTAAAGATTTAAGGCAAAGTAATTAGTTGCACACATTCATGTTTAATGTGTAAGGAATCTTTTAATCAAAGACTTCAAGCTGATACATATTTGTGTTATATGTACATTCCCAAAATGTTTTAAGATTAATTGTTACATTAATCCTATTAATGAAAGATTTTTTTTCTTTTATTTTTTTTATTTTTTTACAGCAGTTCAGGATCAAACGATCAGGTAAAGACTACTTGAAATCTCAAGTTATCATAACACATATGAAAGTAAAGTGATGTATGCATACAACTAGAAACTTCTATAGCAGCTATTAAAGTAACCTTGCACATCTGGAAAAAGATATGGCATTTTTAATGATTTAAAAAGAATTGTAACATTTATAAATTTCATAAGATCTCTTTTTTTAAAAAACTGGGAAAACCTAACATTTTTTTAAGAACGGAAAGCCTTTAAGGTGAGATATATTTTCTATTTCAGTCACAACTAAAAACATTTACTTCATTTAGAAGTATAATTTGGAAAGAATGGTGCATAAAAATTGCAAGGTTTCATTAAAAGTGTTTCTAAATGAAGCTATTTCATAATCTCACACATTTAAAAAAACAAGCAATATCTCTCACATTAACACATAAGATGCCAGATATTGTTGTTCCAATATAAAATCTATGGAAATACAGTACAGTTAGTCCTCGACTTACAACAGTTTATTTAGTGACCGTTTAAAGTTACAATGGCACTGAAAAAAATGACTTGCAACCATTTTTCAAACTTATGACTGTTGCAGAATTCCCATGGTCACATAATAAAAATTCAGACACTTGGCAACTGAATTATATCTATGATAGTTGCAATATTCTGGGGTCATTTGATCACCTTTTGCGATTGTCTGACAAGCAAAGTCAATAGGAAAGCCAGATTCACTTAACAACTGTGTTACTAACTTAATACCTGCAATGATTCACTTAACAGCTTTGGCAAGAAAGTGTCAGCCTCTGTTTTGCTGCTTGCTTTTCGGCTGCCACTGAAATGGGGAGGGGGGCATGGGATTTGGGTGAGGGAATTATTCTGTGCAGCAGTGATTGTAATAAGGGAGTTGTTCTCAACATCTACTGCACATGCTGCAGAGAGAGGAGTTGCTGCCAAGGCCAACTGTCCGGCATACCAACCTGATGATGATTTTTGAAGATGTCTCCCACATGACACCTGTGGGTGTTTGGATTGGACTATGGGATGGGGTTGCTAAGGGGAGGGGTTTGGGTCACATATTGATATCTATGATTACNTGTTGGAAAACTCTTCTGTTAGAAATTCTGCAAAATATGTATAATTCTACAAATACTTCTACCAAACACAATAGGGCAAATATAATTTGAGACATAATATGACAAATAAGAAATTGTATATTTTGTTGCAGGCATAAGATATGCATCAGTTTGTTTGTGTGTGAGAGTGTGCATACGTTTGTGCATATGAACAATAGAGTTAGCTGAATCCTAAATTTGACACTCAGGAAATTGACTATTTCGTTTCCTCCTTCTTAGGAAACATATTGCAGTGTTCACACTGCTTCCGTGTCTCAGGCTGTTTCTCTCTCCCCACATACCATTTTATATCTACAAGTATTAAGAAATCCCCTAAATTAGAAGTCTTCTTATAGATTCAAAATTCAGGATTCACCTATAGTACATGGGATACTCAATACCAGTACCTATGCATTAAAAGAGTCTATTTCATATTTATCTTGAAAAATATTGGATATAGAAACCTTGCCAAAAATTTAGATCATTATTTTCAAACACTTGGTAAACTAATTACACTGCCTAAAATATTTGCTGTATTTTAGATATGAATTGAAATAAGTACAAATAGAAAACATTTCTTTTAATTCTCAATAGTTTTCCACAGGGCTACTACTACTACTACTACTACTACTACTACTACTACTACTACTACTAATAATAATAATAATAATAATAATAATAATAATAATAATAATAATGGTTCTTTTCTAAATTCTTGTTGCATTGGTTAGTGTGTCCACTTGTTTGCATTGCGCTTGCCTAGTTTATGCAGTAAATCCATCAATGAATGCATTATCTGACAAGGGATTCTTCAGTCGGATTGTTACAGAGCATAATGCTGTTCTATGGCTGATGGAAAGAAATGATCACTCAGTTGCCTGCTAAAACTAAGGGTGGGTTAATCCAGCTCCTTCACCACTACATGCTAGCATTCCAGTATATAACATTATTTAAAATGTAATATAATAATATGTATCAAATAAAAGAAAAATATTTTATGCATCCAGTTTCTACAAGCAACTTTCAGGTGAAGCAATGTTCAATATGTAACACAAAAGGAGTTGGTTGTACTTTGATATGTCAATATCTACTTTTGTTATCTTGGCATGCTTCTAGAAAATTGTGGATCCAAGTAAAGGAACATTAAAGTTTAAAGAAGCAAGTAATATATTATAATTAAGTAATGTTATTACCAACCATAGAAGAAAATATGTGACTAAAGGAGCATCTGCAGTGCTTTAGATAAACAATGTGATATGAACTTTTAACATTTATAGTATCTGTAGTAATTTTCTGGAATTCTATGAATATAGTAGAATCTGAGCAAATTCAATAGTAGAAAATCTGAGCCATCACCTACCCCATCAAATACTGCTCCACAACAATTCTCCTGATCACTAGGGCAGTTTTAATCTGCTTCAGGACCTGAGATATTTTCTGCTAAGTGAATTGGCAAAGAGATACCTACTGATGAATGAGCAGGGAATGTGTCAGCCCATAACATTTATATGAAGCTAGGAAAAGATAACTAGGATTTGATATGAAAATGCCATTAGCAGTTGTTTGAAGACTGACATATAACATTATTAAGGCAGCCATATCACATAAAAAAACCTGTTTCACTCTTGAATCAGGGCACACCAAATTCAGAACGGTTCAATTTTGAAATATTTTATATACAACATCTACTAAGTGGTAAAGCTCATGAAAAATAAATGTGTCAAAAAATATGGTAAAAAACATATGGATCTAATTCTCTTTACCTGAAATCATCCAAAGTTTCTTGTATCATATTCTGAATGAAATGAATTTGTATTGATGATAAAGGTGCATTCAATCGGCTATTTCCAATAGTATCTACTATTTTCTCTGATAGTGTACTAGCAACTCCAGAAGTAATATTGGAGGTTATCTTTGGACCTATGCAAAACAACCAAGAAGTGTGAGCATTTCAAGTTTACATGAATAAAAAGGGAAGCAGCCTGCAAAATAACATTTTGAAAAGATATCTATATCAAATCTTACCGTATCATTTCTCATCATCATCATCTATAGTATATTGCAAAGTAAGGAAGAGTTGTTAAGAATTCCTCACTCAGCGTACAAATTTAGACCACATGTATGACCAAAATATTAAGGATAAAACCTTGAAGAATATCAATCAAAATCGAATACCTACTAATGGAGACACTATCTGGAAAATTATGTTGTATTCATAGAGTTAGAAGTTTGTGTCATATCACCTTTCAGCTCAGCAATGTAAATAGTTAAAGATTTAACTATTTATAGTTAACCTATATAGTTATAGGTTTAAAGAAAGATTTTAAATTACTTTTGAAATACAATTGCATTTTAAAAAAATGTCGGCATTTCCTGAGTGTTATACTACAAAAGTGAGTTACACCTACTTGTTGAGGTAGTACCGTTAATTGGTGATTCATATAAAAGTTGTGTCTGGATATTCTTAATGAGTCTTTCTCTGGAATCAGGACTCTTGATTAAATTGGCAACAGGTGGAGTACTCAGAGGTGAATCAGAGTTCGAGGCGTTCAACTACAGCAGGGTCGACAGAAAAAACATGTATTAATATCCCATAACAATGTAAAAAGAGGATAGGAAAGACCTATAAAAATACAATAGGTGGTTATTTTTGCTATCAGCATGATTGTTGCAAGGTAACAATTTCTCTCTTCTTTGAATCTTTTTATCATTTATCACATACTAGGATTCAAATCCTATAGATCCAAATCACTGGCGTCTTCTTTCCTCAAATGCAATGAGTACATCTGACCTGCTTATTAAAATTTTCAAGAGGATGTATTGGGTTTAATCTGCTTATTTTTAAGCATCCATATCTGTTCTTAGCTTGTCCACACAATTTCAGGTTTGATATACAGTAGCATCTATCAATTTTTATCTGTTTTGAACTGTGCTTTTTAGAACATTTTTACATTATTTTATGCTGTTGTTGGTAAACTGCCCAGATTCACTTAGGTGAGATGGGTAGCATACAAATTTGATAAATGAATAAATAAGGAGGTGACAAGGATCAAGATTCAGACTTACAAAGCAGCACCCACCCCATTTTTTATCACTTGATAAACCACAGTACTGATAAACTGTCATATTGGGACAAAATGTCAAACTGTCAAGCAAGCAAGTACCATAATTCTGGCATGCTGGAATCATTCAAGAAAGCAAAGCTCAACCTATAGGCAGCCTTCATCATTCCTTTCCTTCTAGGACCCAATAATAATAATAGCAGCTGATATTTCCAAAATGAATAGGAAGAAAAAGTTGTGCATATACAGTAGTCAGAGTGTTCCTGATCTATCTTGTTACAAAACTGATGCAGTCATTCCTGTAAGATTGTATGATGGAAGATGTAACCGTTTTTATGTTTTATGCAAACGGGGAGATGTTGAAAGCAAAATAAAAGGCAAAACTGTAATCACACTATACCTGCTTGATGTGCTCACTGGATTCTTGTTTTCCATGATTTATTTTTTTAGCATCAATATCTGGATGCTCATCTTCCTCTTTAATGGGGGATCCACCAAATACATTAAATGGACTTGAATGAATAATATGTGGATTTGATCCTGCTGGATTTTTTTTTGCTGGTAAAGCAGTATTAAACTGAGAGAGAAAATCCATGCTTAAAAGATAAGACTGAAAATCCAAACCTATAATGCAAAGCAAAAGATAATATATTTGCATTGCTTTCTTGATACGTAATCAGTCTTTTGACATAGTATTTTACCGTTACTTCTAGATTTCTGCTATAATACTGCTACTATCATTAACAGAAAGTGTGTTATAAAAAGTGCTTACCATCATTCTTTCCTGGAACATCTTCATTTGCTTTACAAGCCACAACATCTAGAACACATAAATAGATATTGACAGTACAAGAAGAAAAAAACCAATAGTCCACTTTTAACCTAATTTTACAGAAAAATTCTGTTTTCTAAATTATGAGATGAATTTGAATCATTTACAAATATAATAAAACAACATTTGCTCCATCCCTTCATCCAAATCATTGATAAAAAATATTAGACAAAAAAGGATCCATTTAAGGATCTTCTTCCAATTTGATGAGAAATAATTGATGAGTATTCTTCAATTCAACTTTTGGTCCACCTAATATATATGGTTACAGAAAGACTGTAATATTCTAACCATAAGAGACAATAGGAGCAAGAGTTCTAATGCAGTAAACATACAGTTTAATTTCAGCATCAACATACCATCTCGAAGTGGAGAAAATAGGTCACCCAAACTATTTCTTCCCAAATCTTCAAAATTAGTTGAATTAGAAGTATACCCATGGTCCATCTCTTTGGAAGGAATTACATCCAAACTGCTGCTCTGTGTCAAGCCTATAAGGGGAAAACATTTTTTAAAAATAAAAAATTGCTTTAAGAATAAATTAAACTCTCATTCATTCAAGCAACTTGTTTTCATAATCAATATAATTTGGTATACTGAAGGGTCATAGCAATAATGAAATAAGTCCAGCAGATTTCAGATAAGGGGTTTAGAGATTTATAATAAGAAGCTGGCCTTTATAAAGATGGAATGCTGCCATAATTTAATTGGTAATATGTTCCACACAACCAATGGGACTTATTATTAAGGAAATATAATTAATATTGAGTTGCAAGCAACAGTCATAACCATTACCAACCATGCCTGTTAATAACTTTAATTGTGTAGGCAATGAATGCTAATAAATTCTGTGCCAAGATACCCACAACACTGGTAGAATGCTTGTTTTCCTTAGGCATTAATTAACAATACAGGTAGGGTTGGCAGGAACATTTACTGTCTGAAGGAAGAATCACACCCCTCCCATTGTATGTGAACTTGTAGTTGAGTATTTCTTTAACATGAGTGAAAGTATGTGACAGGGCATATTAAAGTTATACACTAGTTTATGGGCACTAACAGTAATGACTATCTCATTTTGTCTAGTGGTAATACTGGCCTTGAATACAGGACAGAACTGTTTTTCTGTAAATAAGTATTTCTCAAAATCTCTTCCAAATCTTAAAAAAGGCATTACTATGTCAGTGATTGGAATTTTCTGAACAGACTGCAAACTTATTCAAAACAAGAAAAATAATGAATAGTACAGAATACATTTAACATATAAAAAATCATTATCCAAGGATCTGATATGTTTTTTAAATGCCCAGGAGACTCCATAAGCATCCACAAGCCTACAACCTTTTGTTTCTAGACATTGCCTAGAATGCCACACTGAAAAGGATTTCTAAAATTGTCCAGTGTCGAAGTCAGAATTTTGTTATATTGTTTTATGCAAAGTTTATATACAGTTATCTTTAAAAAAGAAAGACATGCAATTTTCAAAAAGAAAGAAATAATAGCATAGCATAGCAGAATTGGAAGGGACCTTGGAGGTCTTAGCAATAGCAATAGCAGTTAGACGTATATACCGCTTCATAGGGCTTTCAGCCCTCTCTAAGCGGTTTACAGAGT